GGGGATTCCAAACAAAGGAAGCTGTGGGATGGAGTTGAGGTGCATATACACCAATGTTAGGAGCATGGGTAATAAGCAGGAAGAGCTTGAAGCTCTCCTGCAAATAGGAGGGTATGATCTGTTGGGGATCAGGGAAACTTGGTGGGATGAAAGGCAAGATGGAATGTCAGGGAAGGGATAGGATGCAGTGAGATATAATGCAGCACAGATGGGGATCTGGTAGAGGCAGTCTGGGTGAAACTTTGACAGGGGGAAGGACCTGACAATGGGGGTATGTTATCACTCTCCAGGTCAACTTGAGACCCTGGATGATGTCCTGACAGATCAGATTCTAAGGATATCTCGAGGGAGGGACACAGTAATTATGCGAGATTTGAATCTCCCAGATATTAGTTGGGAGACTCACTCAGCGGTGACAGCCAGCTCACGTCACTTCCTCAAAGCTATTGAGGGTTTTTCATGCAGAGGGTCTGAGATGTGATGAGAGGGGGAACATCCTTGACTTGGTTTTGACCAACAAGGAGGAGCTGATAAATGAGGTACAGATAAGCTCTGGATGCGAGTGATCACTCCATCCTTTGCTTTGAGATCAGGAGAATGGGGATGTGCAGCAGGTCAAGCACTAGAAGCTGGGACTTCAAGAGGGCCAACTTTGGCCAACTGAAGGCCAGACTGGGGAAAGTCTCCTGCGATAGGTTACTGGAAGGTAAGCGAGTTGAGAGTGGCACTCAAAAGGGAGGTTTTGGAGGCACAAGCCTTGACGATACCCCTAGTTAGTAAGGCGGGGAGGTGAAGGAGAGTGCTGCCATGGATTGGAAAGCAGGTGGTTAGAGGGATTAGACGAAAGAGGACCCTCCGTAGGAAATGTGTACTGGGGCAAACAGACAAAAGGGTGTACTGGGAGGAGGAGGCCCATTGCAGAAGGATTCTTTGCAAGGCTAAGGCTGATTACGAGCTGAGACTTGCCAAGAATATCAAGAGCAACAAAAAGGGCTTCCATCAGCATGAAAATAGCAAGAGGAAGGGGAAACAGGTAGTGGGACCTCTAAATAAGGAGGAAGGGGATCCAGTGACTGATGTGAGGGAACAGGCACAGATGCTAAATGACTATTTTTGTCTCTGTGTTCTCCCCAAAGCAGGATGGGGGAGATCCACATGGGAGATTAGATGAGGCTGGGAACTTAGGGGCACAGATTAGAGTCACCCTCCTAGAAGTCGAGGGGCTCCTCAGGGCATTGGACATTACAAAGGCGCCAGGCCCTGATGGGTTACACCCAAGAATACTTTTGCGAGTTGGCAGGGTTTCTATCATGCTCACTGGCTTCCATTTTTGAGGCCTCGTGGAGAACGGCTGAAGTTCCAGAGGACTGGAGGGTGGCGTCAGTGGTCCCAATTTTCAAATAAGGTAGTAGAAGGGACACGGGGAATTACACACCAGTTAGCCTTACATCCATTGCAGGAAAAACTATGGAAAGGCTCATACTAGCAAGAGATCTAGTGACGCTAGATCACTAAAGGCTGGAGGCCACACAACACCGTTTCTGCAAAAACAGGTCCTGCCAGACTAACCTTGTGAAATTCTACAAGGTTTTGAGGTGCCTAGATGGAGGGGATGCAGTGGATGTGGTTTACCTGGATTTCAGCAAGGCCTTTGACAAAGTGCCCCATGATATCCTGGTGGAGAAACTGAGGAGTTTTGAGGTAGACCAATGCACTGTCCAATGAATTAGGGTATGGTTGACTGACCAAGAGCCGAGGGTAACCATTAGTGGGGAATCATCAGGATGGCGGCCAGTGACAAGCAGGGTCCCCCAGGGCTTTGTCCTGGGGCCGATCCTGTTTAATCTTTTCATCGACAACATGGAAGAAGGGGTGAACAGTCTGCTGATCAAATTGGCAAATGATACTAAAACCAGGACAGTGGCCACAACTGAGGAGCAGGTATTCCAGGTCCAAAAGAATCTGAACAGTCTATAGAAGTGGGCAGGAGACAACAGGAGAGCATTCAATGTGGATAAGTGCAAGGTCTTGCACTTGGGGCATATGAAAGGTATCATAAGTACAGGTTAGGGGACAAGTGGCTGGAGAGTAGCACTTGTGAAAGGGACCTCGAGGTACTGGTTGACTGCAGGCTAAACATGAGTCAGCAGTGTGATGCGGTGGTCAAGAATGCACCCTTGGTTGCATAGCCAGAAGTATGGCTTCTAGATCGAGAGAGATATTACTACTACTCTATTGACTCTGGAGCACCTGCAACTGGACTATTGTGCTCAGTTCTGCGCCCCTTGTTACAGGAAGGATATAACCAGGTTAGAGTCAGTGCAGCATAGGGCCACAAGGTTGGTGGCTGAATTGCAGGGAAAGCTGTATGAGGTGAAACTGAGGGTACTGGGTCTTTTTAGCCTGGAGGAGTCTCAGAGGGGATCTGTTGGCAACATACAGGTATGTGAGGAGGGTGTCACATGGAGGTGGGTAGAGACCTGTTCTCCCCTGCAGAGGAAGGCAGAATGTGCTCCAACAGAGCGAAGCTCAAGGAACCAAGGTTCAGTTTAGATGCCAGGAAGTAATTCCTGACAGTTAGGACCCCGAGGGTATGGAATGGGCTTCCACGGGAGGTGGTTGAGTCCCCATCGGTGAGGGTGTTCAAGGATAGGCTAGACATGCATATGGCAGGCATGTTGTGAGCGGAGCTGGGTGGAGCCGGGAGTCAGACTAGATGGCCTGGGAGACCCCCTTGTGACTTGCTCTGTTTCTATGTTTGTTCAGAAAATTTGTTTTGCATTTATTGGATGACACAGTATCTTTTTCATACAGGTTTGCCTGTCAATTAATTGCTGGAGGGTTTTTATTTATTTATTTATTTTATTACATCCATTTATACCCTGTCCTATCGCTTCAAGCGCTCAGGCCGGCTTACAAGATATATCTTGGTTATTACCACCAATGCTTCTCTTAATCACCTGAATTTGGATATTGATAAACATAAGTACTTCACAACTAACACCAACAAAAACATAAGTATATTTGGACTGACCTTTGGAGGCTTATGCATAATTTTTGTTGATAGTTGTATATCATGATGATGATGATGATATTCGTCCATCGTTTTTAATGAGGACCTTGATATCTAACGGGTTGTGAGCTGTCCACGGTGTGTCCACAGGTAGCTGATAAGGCCGATACGGGCATGGAATGTTCTGCCACATGTCGGGCAGACATGTGTGGGCACCATTGTTGCAACATTTGCAACTCTGGCTTGACGGAGTGCTTGCTTCTCTTGTTCTATGGTTGTCCTTCTGGCTTCAAATGTTTGGCAGCCTTGGTGGATCAGCGTGCGCCATGTCGATCGATCTTGTGCCAGGGTCTCCCAGGAGGTGGTGTCAATAACCAGGGACTTGAGAGAGGCTTTCAGCGTGTCTTTGTATCACTTCTTTTGTCCCCCGTGCGATCACTTTCCTTGAGACAGCTCACCATAGAAGAGTTGTTTGGGGATGCGGTGGTCTGGCATCCTTGCAACATGGCCTGCCCAGCGTGTCTGAGCTTTCATCAGCAGGGTGTAAATTGATGGCAGGCCTGCTCTGGAGAGGACTTCTGTGTCTGGCACCTTGTCCTGCCACCAGATCCTCAAAAGTCTGCAGAGGCGTGTGGAAGTGGTTCAGTTGCCTAGCGTGCCTCCTGTATACAGTCCAAGTCTCACTGGCATACATCAAGGTAGTTAGCACTACTGCTCGGTAGACTTTAAGCTTTGTAGCAAGGCTTATTCCATGGTAGTCACACACTTTGGTCAGCAGTCTGCTGAATGCAGAGCTTGCCTTGGCGATACTGCAGTTGACCTCGATGTCAATTGTCACTGCGCGGGAAAGGGTGCTGCCAAGGTATGTAAATTGGTCCACTGCTTGCAGCTTTTCTCCCTTCACTGTGATGGTGGGCTCTTGGTGTTGGGCTTTCGGAGCTGGCTGATGCATCACTTTGGTTTTCTTTGTGTTGATGAGGAGGCTGAAGTTGTCGCATGCTGCTGTGAATTTCATATACATATATTTAGTCATGAGTACACTTTTCTTATGCATCAACTGCAATTCATTTCAATTTCTGCAAGAAGATTGTTTCTTTTTCTTATGGTTTTGTTGAAATTTACAGTAAAAAATCCCCCTTCCCCCCTTTCAAATAAATTGAAAGAAAAGGACATGTGAGCAAATGCAGCCATATCATACTGGTGGGAATGTAACATTACAGTAAGAGCAGCCAGTGGAAAAAATCTTAGAAGCTTGGGATGCGTTTTCATGCACAGAGAACTGCTATCTGCACCACTCATCCTTGTAGTGCATGTATGCCAATTTAAAATAACATTTTTGAAATAAACCTTTGCCAATCCAAGCCTCAGGCAAGACTGTATTAAGTTAATGCACTCTGAAATTGGAGGCAAACAACATCTGTGTCAAAACATACAACATGGTACGAAGGCATCATTGGTTTTTCATTGTGTGCTACTTATCTCGAGCTTAACTCCTATAAATATGTTTTCTGGGGACCCAGAAACCTTGCAGAGAAAGTTTCAGCAGGGGGCTAGATTGGGACAAAAAGGCGCGAGCCTACACGTCATAGAACCACTGTACTACTTGAAAACTTTTCTTACAGTCACCCTGGCTGCCTCGGTCCACGTTGCATCTTATGCGTTCATTTTCCTGAGGTACCCTAATTCAGTGCATGGCAACTTGTTCAAGCAGCGCGCGTGCGTGTGTCATTTCCCTTTGCGGGGCAAAGTGCAGCAGAGAGATATCATGTACTGCGTGGACAGTGAAAGGCGTCGACACCCTGAAAGGCTGGCAGAAGCCGCTGTCGGAACTGGGAGGAGGACGGCTCGCTTGCTCCCGAACTCTTCGCGGGACTGATGGGAAAGTTTCTCCCCCATCTCGACCTCCTCGCCAGGATTTCCACAGCGCCCTTCCCCCCCGCCCCATCCTCCGTCAGAACCAGCGAAGAGGGCGGATCTGGCGGGGTCCTCCAGCCAATGAGAAGGCGCCGGGGTGGCTGGCGGGTGGCGCGCGGAGGGGACCGGGCCATGGCGACGCTAACTGTCCCTCCGCAGCGGGGGACCGGCGAGACCCGGATGGCCCTGGTAACGGTCCTCGCGCTGCTCCTACTCTTGCCGGGCGTGGCTGGTGAGTAACTGGGTGCCGTGGTGGGTGAGCCCTTCTCCGGAATTCTCTCGGCCATCCATCCAGCCGGGCACCCTCGGGGGACGGGGGCTCAGCATAATCTGAACCCATCAAGTGGGAGTAGGGCGCGCTTCCGCGGCGGGGAAATGATGGGGGGCACTGAGGATGTGGGGGGAAGAACTTGGGTTGAGTTGCTGAAGTTTTTGAAGCACTTTAAAATTTTAACAGCTAATAATCTCAACCTTGCTCTATGAAGAGCCAGGATATTTTCTGGTTTGCTTTTTAAGCGTTCCGCGATCCTAAGGAAGGGTCAAAATGATGTAGCAAATTTCACCGTTAAAAAAAGCTGTGCACAACGGAGCTACGCGTTGGAACAAAGCTCCTCTTTGGTACATCCGCAGACTTTGTTTTCCTTGAAGCCAGCGCTCATGTGTACAGTGAACGGCGTAAATCTGCGTTAGAACCCCGTGAAACTCACTACCGAGTTTCAAGACACGACACTCTTGTCCCACTGAAATCAGAGGAGACGAATTCCATATATTCATAGGACTACGATCATGGATAGTAAGGGCGGTGGGAGATGTTGAGTTCGTCCCCGAAATGTTTCCCTTTCTACTTTCTGGAGAGTAACAGAAGATAGCTTAAACACTGTTCTGTGCAGTAATAGCAGTGGGTCTACTGAGTTAGCAACAAATAGTTATGTACGTTTTTAGTTCTGGCTGCGTTGGTGCATTAGATTTTGTGGGAGGGAGGTATAAAACTGAATATATTGTCAGTTGCCATATTTTAAATTATTTCAAATAATAGAGTAAATAAGTCATTTTGGGTTTATTACAAACACATATATTAACGTACATATGCATATGTCAATTTGAAGTTGATGTCTCATTCACCTAATGGTGCATTAATGGGACAACGTCCCTGAAAGGCTTTGTCAGAATAAAATGGTTAGTCTTTAAAGTGCCAAAAACTGTTATTCATTATTGTGCCTACTCACAGGAACCAATGTGTTGTGGAGTTTAAGAGTACAGGAAGATCTGAGTTCTAGTCCCCACTTGGCTGTGGAAATAAAGCTAACTGGGTGACTTTGAGCCAGTCAGAGATGCTCATCTTATCTCACAAGGCTGTTGTACGCATAAGACTGAAAAGAGGAGAATTATGTAAGTTGCCTTGAGTTCCTTGAAAGGAAAGAAAAGCAGGGTATTGTTGAAAGAAAGAAAGAAAGAAAGAAAGAAAGAAAGAAAGAAAGAAAGAAAGAAAGAAAGAAAACTCCCTACCACTACAGATTAGGCAAGCAGCAACTTTTCTGGCATTTTAGGGTCTACTAAAAGCAAACCTTTTCCAGGAGACTTCCCAGGAAACATTTATGCTTCCCTTAGAAATTCCTTTAATACAGGTGACTCATGAATGTCACAAAACCATGTATTAATCTTTAATTTAATACTGTAATTTCTTCCCACAAATATAAATGGCTGCAGTATTTGGCTGGTTTTCTCTATTTACCTTCAACACCTGTTACCAGTCCTATATTTAATTCTACTTGTGTTTTGGGTGAATTCATTTCTTAAGAGTATTCAGAATTTCCAAAATAAATGTCTTAGAAGTCTTGGACTTCATTATCTTAACAATTAATTATATGAATATGAAAATAATACTTCATCAAAATACTCAGAAATAACAGCTATTTTGTTGATGTTGATTCATATTTTTCTGCACAGGTGCATCATGCTGTTACCTTGCAAAGGGTAACTTAATGTGCCGTGATGTTTGTGAACAGGTAAATTGGTTTTTAATTTACATTTGCATACCTGTAACATCTATGAAAAGAAATGTGTTGAAATTATGTTTACAACACTTAACCTGAATGCTGAACTTCTAAGCAGTTCTCTCAATGTGAGCAAAATGTACTGTTGGTAACCTATTCTAAGGCTCTTTTAGGCATAAGTGCACCCATATGAATAAAGACTCAGTTCTTGACATCTCACCCTTTGAGAGGGGCCAGCTGGTCTGTAAATCACAAGCATTTATTTTTCTTTTAGGCATTTCTCCCCTCTTGTTTGATCTTTGATTATCATCCATATCTCATCAGAGTACAAGATATGTGGTCTAGTGAACTGAAACTTGCAGGTTTAAGTGGATAAACAGTAAGGTTACCATTTTATATTGTAACCAATATAAGATCATAGTATAGATATCAGCACAAACATATGTTTATTTTATGGTAGTTTAATCAAAAAATTTTGGGAATTGTAGTTTGATAAGAGTCTCTGTTTGAGATCCATAGCCCTCTTCCTCAATTCCCTGCCTTTTCAGATGAAAAGAAATGACAGTTAACAGGTCATTTCTAATGGGTCTGCAGATGGGAGAGATATTGCAAACAGATATAGAGAACCAGTTCAGATATGTTCCTGTAATGTTCCCATACTGCGTGGCCAGCTATGCTTGATGCAAAGGTCAGTTTTTAAAGTAGTTTCAGATAATAGTGGGAATTCTGCTGTTCAGAGTCAAATATCCAGGTGGGTGTACTGCTCACCAAAAGTAGTTCTTTGGGCCCCAGACATTGTGAGCAATTTGTTATAATTCTGCTACTGTAAATGTGGTGTGATGGATAGAGTGTTGGACTGGGGATCCAAGAGATCCAGTTTCTAGTCCTCACTCAGCCGTGAAGCTCACTGAGTGACCTTAGGCCAATCACTCACTCTCAACATACCTCACAGAGTTGTTGTGGGGATAAAATGGAGTAGAGGAGGACCTTGTGAGCCACCTTGGGGTCCTTACAAGAGAAAAAAAGTGGGATATACATTCAACATAATAATAATCATGGTCATTTTTGGCCATGTAAAATAAATGACCATTGTATCAGAAACAAGTGGCATTGTGCTGATTAATAATCACCAAGGCATTTAGTTCCTTTCTAGACAAGGTTCCCATGAAGTCTAAAATTTAGCTAGGAAGTGGGGATGTAATGGTCCAGTTAAAATATGTGTCCCAATATCTATTGTTATGAAAGTATTTAATATGTTTTAAATTACATTTGTTGGGTACCAAATTTAAGTTCAGCTGGTTCAATATGCCAGTGTTTTTATATGTTGTGGAATAACAGTTTGAAATAACCTGAGCTGTTTACCTATATTTTTTATAATTATGCAATATTTCTTTTAAAATGCATTGGTAGATTTTGACATCTAAGAGTGATTCTCATTTGAAACATCTGTTGCAACGTGCACCTGAATATTGTCCAGAAACAATGGTAGGTAAAATTATGTTTGGTAAGACATGAGACCAAAATCGTAAGGTTTTCTTCTGCAACATTTTTCATTATCATTTTCTGTACTTTTAAGGGATTATGATGAATTTTAAATCATTTCAATATCTTACAGCTTGGACTGCTGTGCAGTCTGCAAAGGACTGAGGCTTTTGATTAAAATGGGTCTACAAAGTTTTTATGAAGCTGATAATTCTGTTTTATAAAAATTGCTACTTACTCTACATTGGCTAAGGCCAGATGTATTCTTACAAGCATTCCAATTTAGTTCAGAAACTAAACTGCTACTTTGGGTGGAGAGTAGGGGGAGAAATAGGAACTGTAAAATACCCAATAGCTCTTTATGGTTAGAAGAGTGGGTAGAAAATTTTCTGGTCTGTTGGTGGAAAATTCTTATTTCTGCATGTGACCAGAAGGACAGGTAATTGGAATTATGAATTTCTCACATTACTTCTCTTCTAAATTAATCATCAGGTAGCTCTTATTGGAACCGGTTTCACTTTGTCATTCATATTTTTATTGAAACTTATACCCTGTTCCACATGAAAACATGTCTAACAACAATGAATGAATACAAAATCAACAATCATAGTAAAAATATCACCAGATGGTGGAAGGTCTTAGGGGTGTGTGGAGGGCATATGAAACTTTCTCCTTTGAGCGGGAGTTCCAGAGACTAGAAGAAGCCACTGAAATCCCTCTAGTACCTGTTAATTTTACCTTACATAACAGCAAGACAAAGAGAAGAGCCTTGCTTTGTGATCTTAAAATCTGGGCTGCTTCATATGGGAGAATGTGGTCTTAGAGGAAACTTAGTCCCACCGCTATGGTATCCAGAACTATATACATTCTCTTTTTTTTCCCCAAATCATTTTATTTGTTTTCAGAAAGTACAATGGAAAATAAAAAGGGATATATAGGGGGAAAAAGCAGCAGCCAAGGGTCATTCTAAAGATTTAGCAAGCAACTCCTCATTTAAGCATGTTTACAATAATCAGAAGTCTCTATCAACCACTTTCCCATTCAACCCATGCAATTCTCAGTTACATTGCTTTGGCAACAGATAGTAATCACAAACTTTTGTAAAAATTTTATTTTCTTTAACCATTATTTAAATTCCTCACAATAAGCCTTTCATATTTCAGTAAATTCTTTAACTGATCTTCTGTTGACATAACTAGTTAGCTTCACCATTGTTGCATACTCAGCCAGCTTGTTGTTCCAGTCTTCGACAGGTAGGCAGTCTTCAGTCCACTACATATAGTAAAATTTCCCATCTACCTTTGCATTTCCAACATTTTTATTATAATTCTCATCCATTTTCTGTATATCTTTTAGGGTAATATACTACCAGCAACTTACATTGATTTTTTCTTAATGCTTGGCATGCAGTAAATTTTACATCCTTCATCCCATAAGACTTCTGCTTGAAGATTTTGCATCTAGCTCTTCATGCATATTTTGTCTTGTTGAGCCTCAGTATCACATTTAAGCAGTTGTTTATAAATACATCCCAGGAGATGGTCTACCTTTATTTTTAATTATAATTTCAAAGTCTCTCAAATTTCTTATGTCTTTTCCAGCTTGAATTTCCCTTTGTTACTCATTCTAGGAGAGATTGGAGGGCTAATTCTTCTCATGGTGTACCAAATTTTTATTAAACCATCTCTAAATACATGATTGCTATTTGGAGTCATTACCTTTTTAATTGATTCTTTAGCCATTGTGTATTCCTTCCTCAAAGTCTGCAATTTCCAGTTTCTCTAATCTTTCACTGAAATTAAAAATCCAATCTGTAATCCATATTAGGCCTTTTGTTTGGTAATGTAATTTGATGTTTGGTACTGGAAGGCCCCTTTTTATCTTGTAGTTCAGTGCCTTGTAGTGGTGAAGGGGCTTGTGTAGCTCAGTGAAGCGATGAGCTATGCCATGTAGGGCCACCCAAGATGGACAGGTCATAGCAGAAAGGTCTGACAAAACGTGATCCACTGGAGAAGGAAATGGCAACCCACTCCAGTATCCTTGCCATGAAAACCCCATGGGCAGTACCAAAAGGCAAAAAGATATGATGCTGGAAGATGAGCCCCTCAGATCAGAAGGTGTCCAATGTGTTACTGGGGAAGAGCAGAAGGCTAGTACTAGTAGCGCCAGAAAGAACAAAGTGACGGGGTCAAAGCCGAAAGGACACTCAGTTGCAGATTTATCTGGAATGTAAGATCTATAAATCAAGGCAAGCTGGACGTGGTCAGACAAGAGATGACAAGACTGAACATCGACATCTTAGGAATCAGTGAACTAAAATGGACAGCAATGGGTGATTTAATTCAGATGACCATCAGGTATACTACTGCAGGCAAGAATCCCCCGGGGGAAGAAATGGAGTAGCCTTCATAGTCAATAAAAGAGTAGGAAAAGCAGTTCTGGGATACAATCTCCAAAATGACAGAATGATCTCAGTTCGAATCCAAGACAAACCATTCATCGTCACAGTAGTCCAAGTCTGTGCCCCAACCACTGATGCTGAAGAGGCTGAAGCTGACCAGTTCTATGAAGGCCTACAACACCTTCTAGAATTAACACCAAAAAATGATGTCCTTATCATCATGGGGGATTGGAATACTAAAGTAGGAAGCCAAAAGTTAACCGGAATTGCAGGCATGTTTGGCCTTGGAGTACAAAATGAAGCAGGGCACAGGCTGGTAGAGTTTTGTCAAGAGAATGTGGTAGTCATAGCAAACACTCCTTTCCAACAACACAAGAGACAACTCTACACATGGACTTCACCAGATGGTCAACACAGAAATCAGATTGACAATGTGCTCTGCAGCCAAAGATGGAGAAGCTCTATACAGTCAGTAAAAACAAGACCAGGAGCTGACTGTGACTCAGATCATGAGTTTCTTGTTGCAAAATTTAGGCTTAAATTGAAGAAAGTAGGGAAAAGCACTAGGCCACTCAGGTATGACCTAAATCATATCCCTGATGAATATACAGTAGAGGTGACAAACAGGTTTAAGGAATTAGATCTGATAGAGTGCCCAAAAAACTATAGACAGAGGTTTGCAACATTGTACAAGAGGTAGCAACTAAAACTACCCCAAAGAAAAAGAAATGCAAGAAAGCAAAATGGCGGTCTGAGGAAGCATTACAAATAACTGAGGAAAGAAACATAGAAACAGAGTGAGTCAGAAGGGGTCTCCCGGGACATCTAGTCTGACCCCTGGCTCCAGCCGGCTCCGCTCACGACATGCCCACCATGTGCATGTCTAGCCTATCTTTGAACACCCTCACCTATGGGGCCTTAACGACCTCCCATGGATGCCCATTCCATACCTTCGGGGTCCTAACTTTAAGGAAGTGCTACCTGACATCTAAATGCAAGAAGGAAAGCAAAAGGCAAGGGAGAAAGAGAAAGATACACCCAATTGTGAAAGCAGAATTCCAAAGAATAGCTAGAAGAGGTAAGAATAACTTCTTCAATGAACAGTGTAAAGAAATAGAAGAATGCAATGGAATAAGGAGGACCAGAGATCTCTTCAGGAAAATTGGAGATATGAAGGGAATGTTTCATGCAAAGATGGGCACGATAAAGGACAAAAATGGCAGGGACCTAACAGAGACAGAAGAGATTAATAAGTGGTGGCAGAATTACACAGAAGAACTATACAAGAAAGAGCTTAACGTCCCTGATAACTGACCTCGAGCCAGACATCCTGGAATGTGAAATCAAGTGGGGCTTAGGAAGTCTGAGCAACAACAAAGCTAGTGGAAGTGACATTATTCTAGCTGAGCTATTCAGAATCTTAAAATACAATGCAGTAAATGTGCTACACTGAATATGCCAGCACATTTGGAAAACTGAAGTGGTCACAGGCTTGGAAAAGGTCAGTTTACATTACAATCCCAAAGAAGGGCAATGCCAAAGAATGTTCAAACTACTGCACCATTGCACTCATTTCACATGCTAGCAAAGTTATGCTCCAAATCCTACAAGGTAGGCTCCAGCAGTATGTGGAGTGAGAACTACCAAAAGTACAGGCAGGATTTCAAAGAGGCAGAGGAACTAGAGATCAAATTGCCATCATATGTTGGATCATGGAGAAAGCTAGGGAGTTACAGAAAAACTTCTGCTTCATTGACTTTGCTAAAGCCTTTGATTGTGTGAATCACAACAAATTATGGCACATTCTTAAAGAGATGGGAGTACCAGACCATCTTATTTGTCTCTTGGGAAATCTACATGTGTGTCAAGAAGCAGCAATGAGAACTGGGCACTGAACCACTGATTGGTTCAGAATTGAGAAAAGAGTTCGGCAAGGCTGTATACTGTTGTCCTGCCTATTTAACATATATGCAGAGCACATCATGAGAAAGGTGGGGCTAGATGAATCACAAGTTGGAATTAAGATTGCTGGGAGAAATATCAACAACCTCAGATAAGCAGATGGTACCACTCTAATGGCAGAAAGTGAAGAGGAACTAAAGGGCCTCTTGATGTGGGTGAAGGAGAAGAGTGCAAAAGTTGGCTTGAAACTCAACATTAAGAAAAGTAAGATCATGGCATCCGGTCCTCTCACTTTCTGGCAAACAGATGGGGAAGAAATGGAGGTAGTGACAGATTTTATTTTCCTGGGCTCCAAGATCACAGCAGACTGGAACTGCAGCCAAGAAATTAAAAGACGCTCGCTCCTGGGGAGGAAAGCTATGGCAAATCTAGAGAGCATACTAAAAAGCAGAGACATCACCCTGCCAACAAAAATGCGTATAGTCAAGGCTATGGTTTGTACATTTGCCAAATCCCTGGCAGCTTACTGACTGGTCATGCAAAAGCTCAGTGAGTCTCGACTAATGAATGAACTCATTGCCTGGTGCCCTTAATCTTTCCAAATATGCACATGGCTGCTGGTTCTATCACATGTGTACAGAGCGGGCCATGCATGCACCTTGGGGCATGTGTGCCATAGGTTCGCCATCACTGTCTTAGGCAGAAATAGGTGACCATCACAGACAACAGATCCATAGTTCTTGGCTCCCTGTTTGACCAGAAATAGAGCCCTCCAGAAACTATGTATCCAACTTTCAGGATAGCTTCTACAGATCAGATCTTGGCCAATCCTTAAGGACAGTAGCTTCTTCTCAGATCATTTTCAACCCAGGGAGAAAAGGAGGAATCGCACCTGATCGGCAAGTTCAATCCTCCCCTCCCCACTGGCAAGCTCAGATCCTCACAAACTGCTCAAATTAATCTATCAACATCCAATCAATTATTCTTAGCCTCATAGTATAATCAACAAATGACTTTACGGCTTTGCAGGCCAGTTAGGAGTTCGATGTAAAGTGGCTGGCATGAACTCATTTGGGTGAATAAAAACAACTTTTTTTGCTGAAAGTTGCAGGTTAAGCTTCCTTGGTTTGGGGGTGGGTGGGAGAAAAAAGAAGGAAAACTTGGGAGAAAAAGGAAATATCCGGAAGGCAATTTGAAAACAGTTCCTTGTTTACTTTGTCTTCTTGTCTTGATGGTATCAGAACTGATCACTGGCCAATGGATCTTCATCTCAAAGGTGAAGAAAAATGAAGCCTAGCTTCAATGATGTCTGCAAAAACAGACACTATTAGCAAAACAAGGCAAGAGTTCACACAAAGGTATCTCAAGAAAATGCCTTCTTTCCCAGAAGTGAATCCTGGATATATTATTCTAGATGGACTTACCTCAGGGTTGGTTGTTACCTTTCCTAGAACATCTATGTTTAAATGTGCTAATTTTCTACTTAAAGATATTTATCTTGATTTTATTTTATTTTTTTAAAAAATATGTCTGCCTTACCTTATAGCCATTTTTGTAATTATAGTATGCAATTACTTCTTTTAGGGAGAGGTTTGGGGATGCATAAATTCTTCTTTGCCAGGTAAGAGTTTAGACTGTAATGACAGTGTAATCCTATGCACAGTTACCTATTAAACTCTTTGGGTCTTACTTTGATTAGACTTATAAGATTACACTATCTTTTGCATATTTACTTAGTAGTTTTCAGACAATATTCTAATTTGTTGTATTCCATTTTTATTGCTGGTATATTGACTGAATCAGACATGGGTGAGTCACCTCCTCTTTGCATGACTGCATACTAAGGAATGAATTAGAAAAGGGTTTACCATAAATTCAGCAGCTTGTGAGATCCAAAATACATTTATTTAGAAATAAGTTTTTAGTTTAGACTGCAAATCATAACAAAAATGTACATGACTTACACATAGGATATAAAAACCCATTCCATTGGATAAAACATTTCATTAGGCAATCTCACATCATTAAAATAGTTCACCATTTGCTCCAAGAAGTATTAACATACATGCTTTGCCCTAAAAGCAAAGGAAGGCAGTTATATACCTCTTCACCTATTTGTTTTCTCACCTAAAAAATTCTTTGACCGGCAAAGAGTGCCAGAATGAGGCTGTCACAGATGCAGTAGCTTCCAAAAGTACAAGAGGACAAGAACTTTCTCACAAGAACAGGAAGCTTTGTGAGAAATGTTAAATGACTTTCCTTAATTATATGATACCAGAACATTGGTTTAACCCCTGAAATTAAGGACAAATCAGACTCACAAACTTCCTTTAACTAGTGCAGTGGGAACCCCCACCATACACCACCCAACCATTTGACCTTTTAAGGTATTCTTGTGAAACAGGAAGAACCTCAAGGAATATTCTTACTGAATATTTGTTCTGTTGGTTGAAGTGTGGCTCCTGCTGGGTAAAAAAAAGCCTTGTGGGAGGGCATGATAGGTGCTGTGGAGAACTTAGGTGGAAATTATGTGTAGTGTACTAATTCTTTCTGGGGATCTTGGGATTTGTAGTTAGCTATTTTTAAATTCTGATTGACTGTTGCTGTTTATAAATGAAAAGTAAGCTGGAGAAATGCCATGAGATAGAATAGAATTGACAATTGGGGATGGGGGGGTTGGTCATGCTGTTTCTTTTAAAGTGTCAGTGCATCTCCTCTCCTGAAAAAAAGTTTGCATAATCTTGTGTTGGGCCAGAGAGAAGGAGATAAACAATTTAACTACTTGCCTGTGCTAGCTGGTTGAAATTAAGCACAGCTGTACTGGGTAAGGGGTGGAAAAGTGGAGCCTTGTGACAAACAGAACAGGCAGCTTTGGTTTTATAAACAGCAGAGAATGTGGATGAAAACATACAAGACAAAGAGTGTGAGTGAACAGTCATAGCACTGAAAGCTCGTAGATAAGAAGGAAGACTCTATGATAAGTAGTTTGTAGGAAGGAGGAATGGGTAGTTCTTAACTCTCATACTGAGCTGAAGCTTCTAGACTTAAGCAGAGATCGCGGGGCGAGGGGGGGTTAAAGCATGGTTCTCTGATGTAAGAGGGGACTGAAAAGTTCTAAATGGTTTGACTCTTGTTAAGAGCCCCCAATTTAATTTGAATACAGCAATTGAAGATAAAAGAAATGCCCTGGTCATTAGAAATAACATTTCAGTTTCCTCTTGAAGCAGCACTGATGGTATATATTTGGGAACATCCAAATTTAAAATGATTGTTTTAATTAAAAATAAATATCTTATACACAACATGGTGCCACAGTTATGTGAACTCTCTTCTTAAGTATGGTAAGCCTACATTTACAGGCATGTAAAAATGTTTATCAGTACGCGTAGCTTCATTTTTCATCTTGTGGAAATGGCCTTGTCCAGCCTAACAGTTTGTGCTTCTGGAAAGTTCTGTGCTTTTAATTTCTGACTAGGACACATGTGCTAAGGCACAGGCTAGATAGAATTGCTATTGTTTTGTGTGTATGTGTTGCTTTGACCTATCATAGCCATTTCATGTCTGTCTCCTATTCTGTTTTAGTGAGGGCAAGGCTAGGAGAAGGCTGAGAAGGCAAATAGAAATAAAAACTATCCAGTGTGCATTCTTCCTGAATTTCCATATAGAGGTTGCAATCTTACAGGCCCTGCCAGACAAACCTTGTGGAATTCTATGACAAGGTTTCGAGATGGCTAGATGGAGGGGATGCAGTGGATGTGGTTTACCTGGATTTCAGCAAGGCCTTTGACAAAGTGCCCCTTGATATCCTGGTTGAGAAACTGAGGAGTTTTGGGATACACCAAAGCACTGTCCGGTGGATTAGGGCATGGTTGACTGACCAAAAGCAGAAGGTAACCATTAGTGGGGAATCATCAGGATGGCGGCCAGTGACAAACGGGGTCCCCCAGGGCTCTGTCCTGGGGCCGATCCTGTTTAATCTTTTCATTAATGACATGGAAGAAGGGGTGAACAGTGTGCTGATCAAATTCGCAGACGACACTAAAACTGGAGCAGTGGCCACAACTGAGGAGCAGGTACTCCAGATCCAAAAGGATCTTGACAGACTATGGCAGTGGACAGGAGACAACAGGATGGCGTTCAATGTGGATAAATGCAAGGTCTTGCACTTGGGGCATAGGAATATGTGTCATAAGTACAGGTTAGGGGACAAGTGGCTGGAGAGCAGCACTTGTGAAAAGGACCTCAGGGTACTGGTTGACTGCAGGCTAAACATGAGTCAGCAGTGTGATGCGGTGGTCAAGAGGGCGAACGCCACCCTTGTTTGCATAGCCAGAAGTGTGGCTTCTAGATCAAGAGAGGTATTACTACCACTCTATACGACTCTGGTGCGCCCACAACTGAAGTATTGTCCTCAGTTTTGGGCCCCTCATTACAGAAAGAATATAGCCAGGTTAGAGTCAGTGCAGCGTAGGGCCACAAGGTTGGTGGCCGGTTTGCAGGGGATGGGGTATGAGGCGAGGCTGAGGGAACTGGGTCTCTTCAGCCTGGAGAAGAGGAGACTCAGAGGGGATATGTTGGCGACATACAGGTATGTGAGGGGATGTCACACTGAGATGGGTAGAGACCTGTTTTCTCCTGCAGAGGAAGGCAGGATGCTCTCCAACAGAGCAAAGCTCAGGGAACCAAGGTTGCATTTAGATGCCAGGAAGCACTTCCTGACAGTTAGGACCCCGAGGGTATGGAATGGGCTTCCAAGGGAGGTCGTTGAGGCCCCATTGGTGAGGGTGTTCAAAGATAGGCTGGACATGCATATGGTGGGCATGTCGTGAGCAGAGCCGGCTGGTGCTGGAGGTCAGACTAGATGGCCCGGGAGGCTGACTTGCTCTGTTTCTATGTTTCTATATTTGCATCCCTGTTCTGAAATAAGCTAGACTGGCACTTTGGACAGGGAGAGAAATAAGCTGGAGCACTGCCAGGATATATAATAGCCTGTGGATCCAGATCCTCTCCTTCCTGTCCCCTGGAATGTCCTATTTACACCTTTTCCAGTCTTTGACTTTGGAGAAGCAGCCATGGCATCTCTATTCAGGAGGGGGGAATCCAAGTGCAGACCTCCAGGTCCAAGTTGAGAGTTCTTTCCTGACCTTGGAACTGGGAATTTCAAGCATCCTGTGGTCTTCTAGACACAGTCTAGGATCCATGGGATCACATTGTTAATAAGTGGTTTAAATTGATCTTTCTTTCTTGGAGACTTAAATCAATCCACTCTGCTAGATGAATTGTCCAACTCTGGGAAATCTGAGTCATTCTGCCAAGAGCCCTTCCCATCAGACCACATCTAGGAAAAAGTTAAAAGGAGAGTGCTTTGGATTACAGCTGTGCAGCATACACAGCAGTGGTATTGTAACAAGTTTTGTAATTTTTCTTTAAAGGTGTTTTGAAGAAATCTGATGGTTGGGTTGGCTTAGGTTGCTGTGAGTTAGCCATTGTTGTAGAATGTCGACAAGCATGTAAACAGGTAAGATTTTTTTTGACTGGTTTGGATTTTTATCTACTGTAATATTTAAATATTTTATGAATTTAAAACATATTTAGTTTTAATTATTGGTTTTATAATGAAATAATCAACCTAGCTTGTCTATATAATTATATTAAATTGAATATGAAGATATTTGTTAAAAGAAATGCTTTGTAATTTTGATCATATTCTAAAATGCAGTATATCCAAGTGATTAAAATATTGCCATATGAAAAAAAGATATTAGTATCATTTCTAAATTTTTGCAATATAAATCTTTTCTGTCTTACTCTTATTAAAAGGGTATGTGTTAATAATAAATGCGTGTATTTCAGGCATCTTCAAAAAATGACATTTTGAAAATTTGCAGGAAAGAATATGAGGTAAGCACAAAACAGATAGCCTTTTTCTTCCCTGTAAGCTTGCTTAAACTTTCCAGATTGTTGAGGACTATAAAGTCTGATAATAATTTCTGATTCACAAACACTTCTGGAGAAAAAACAGACCAAGCTGAGCTTTCTCACTTACTGTAGATGATATAATTATCTTGTTATTATAGTTGTTTGTTTATATTTATTGTTTATTTATATTATATTGTAAGCCATCCTGAGACAATTGGTTTGTATAGGACAGGATAAAAATATTCTAAATAAATAAAATGCTGACTTCTAGCAAACTTTGGGTTGCTGACTAAGAGCCAGCAAAGTGATCATGCAGTCTCCTGCGTATTCCTCCCCTCTGAAATTCCTCCTTTCTTGTCAGTATTAACTTCAGTTTAACACTTGTGTACACCAGGAAGATATGAAAAGGTAAAACTATCATGGTTTGGAAGAATAGCAGTAACAAAAATGAAAATTCTGCCAAAGATTAATTTTTTTGTTTTGGATGATCCCAATCAGGTTTTATGATCATGAATTAAAGGAAATGCAGAAATTATTGGAGATTTATTGTAGTGGAGGGAAGAGAGCAAGAATAAGTAAAGTACTTTGGTATGAATCACAAAAAAAGGAGGGTTGGGCATTCCAGATGTTAAAAAGTATTGGGTTGCAAACCAATTAAAGATAGTTCCAGGTATTATAGTCCAAAATAAAGAATTAATATGGAGTGATAGCGAATTTAAAAAAGGAAAATAGATGATCATTTAGAAACATATTGGTTTAAAAGGGATATTAAAAAGATTATTAAGAGAATTCAAAATCCCTTTTTAAAAAATACAATGGAAGTATGGGGAAAATGGAGGCAACAGTGAATCCCAGGAACTTCTCCATTAACACCAGTGGTCAAAATGGAGAAATTCCCAAAAATAGAATTAAAGGATTGGAAAACTAAATTTAAAAATAACCGTATATATACATATAGATGGGAAGACTGGAAAAATATGATAAAAATCTATCACATATTGCCAGAGGTTAAATTAAATTGGTTAACTTTAATTTAATTAGAAAAATGGATAAAGATGGAGGATAAATTTAAAGAGGAAGAAAGACAATTAACAAAATTTGAAACGATCATAAAAGAATGTGAGTGAGGAAGAATATACAAGTAAAGGAAGAATTGCCAAAATCTATAGGATATTAATGGAGTTAATAAGACAAAAGATCAGACAAAAAGTTTAAAATCAATTTGGGAAATGGATGTAGGTGAAATAAGAGACAATGCCTGGAAGAATATTTGGAATATAAGAGTATATAAGAATATGTCAGTTAGAATTAAAGAGCATGGATGCAAAGTAATATGGAGATGGTATTTAACACCAGTTAAGTTAAATCAAATTGATGACAAATATTCTAATATATGTTGGAGATGTGGTAAAGAGATCAGAACTTACAAACATATGTGGTGGGATTGTAAAAATATACAAAGGTTTGGATTATGGTATTAAGGAAATTGGAGAAATTTTAGATATAGACTCAGAAATGTCACCAAGACATTTGGTGTTATAATTGTTGATAGAAAAACAAGATATAAATGAAGCTAAGAAAGAATTGATTTTAAGTATGATAATGGCAATTAGGCTAGTGATAGTTAAATATTGGAAACAGAACTGGATTTTGCAAAGGCATGAATGGTATAATGAAATATGGAACATGGTAGTAATTAATGATAAACTAATGACAGAAATAAAAATTAAAAGAGGGTTAATGAAAGCAAATAAATATAATGAAATTTGGGAAGATTTTGTAAAAGCAGTACTGATAGAAGGCAAAGGCTGTAAACGCAATCAAGATTATATGAACTTCTGGAGGGCATATGGAAATAATTGAAGTATATTATATATTATTAATTGCTATAGTATATGAATGGTGGAACCATTGGTCTCCGGGGTGGTGGGGGCACTTTATTATTTACTTTTGTTATAGTGTTTTTGTTATTATTGTTGTGTTGTATTTATGTTATTTTTTGTCTAAAAAAATAAAAAAATTGGTGGGGGGGGGGTAAAAAAAAGGCACTTGTGTACCAATACAAACTAATAAACAGAAAACATGTTTCTTTTGTAAACTAGAGAATGTAGCCATTTTTTGAGCTTGCAGTGCATGGTACCAAAGGGACCAATAGCCACAATTCAATTGGTGCACTTATAATATGAACCCATTTGGGATGTCACCTGATCTTTCCCACATTTTAAAAGGTGCGTAATGGGAAACACATGGTACAGCATAGCCCATCACACACAGTGAAAACATTTTTGTGTTATCTATGCATTTAGATAGTCTGGGAAAAAGCTCTTCATTTACCTTAATGTATGCATGTAGCACTCCACTCAAGGAGGGTGTCCTGCTCTGTGCCCACAAATGCCAAGTCCCTGTGTTACCTTCCAAACAATTAGTCAATTCAGTCTGAAGATCAAGGCTGTATGGTTTGTGCATCCACAGTTTAAATCGGGCAGGAGTATCCAAAAGAATGTCCAGGAAACAAGCCAAAAGTCTAGTTATCTTACTAGTCTTAGAGCCAAAAATGCCAATAACTATTCTTGTTCTTTGCCACAAAGACCAGGCTCTGGCTGATCTAATTTATAGCCAGCTGTTAACCAGTGTATTGTTTCATGGGAGGTTCCATGTGCTTGAATTTCTGCTGGAACCCTGCGCTCCTTTTCCTAAGGGATGAATTGCTTCTTACTCTGGTTCTGCCCTTGAGGAATTCCAGAGACTGCCCAAGAGGCTGCTCCTCTGATGGAAGGCAGACAGCGGAAACCCGAACCTCTGCATCTAATTGTGGTTGGGGCCTTCTGTGCTCGCTCTCTTCATCCCACGACATTATCTAATAGATAACATTATCTATCCTGTCTGTGAGAACAACCTTCATTTTAGAAGTTTACATTTTTAGATTCACTTGGATAAGATTATGTAGCCAATTTGACATGGTGCAATTGTGTAAAAAATAAGTTAAAATACATAATTTATCATGCTAGGCATGCGCTCCCCACCTTGTCGTGGTGAAGGGACTTGTGTAGCTCAATGAAGCTATGAGCTATGGTGTGCAGGGCCACCCAAGATGGACAGGTCATAGCAGAGAGCTCTGACAAAACGTGATCCACTGGAGAAGGAAATGGCAACCCACTCCAGTATCCTTGCCATGAAAACTCCATACCAAAAGTCAAAAAGATACGATGCCGGAAGATGAGCCCCCTCAGGTCAAAAGGTGTCCAATGTGCTACTGGGGAAGAGCAGAGGACTAGTACTAGTAGCGCCAGAAATAAAGAAACAACTAGGTCAAGGCCGAAAGGACACTCAGTTGTGCATGTATCTGGTGGTGAAGGGAGAGTCTGCTGCTGTAAAGATCTATACTCCTTAGGAACCTGGAATGTAAGATTATGAATCAAGGCAAGCTGGATGTGGTCAAACAAGAGATGACAAGACTGAACATCGACATCTTAGGAACCAGCGAACTAAAGTGGACAGGAATGGGTGCATTCAGTTCAGATGGCCATCAGGTACACTACTGCAGGCAAGAATCCCTCAGAAGAAATGGAGTAGCCTTCATAGTCAATAAAGGAGTAGGAAAAGCAGTAGCGGGATACAATCTCCAAAATGACAGAATGATCTCAGTTCGAATCCAAGGCAAACCAGCTTCACAGTAGTTCAAGTCTATGCCCCAACCACTGATGCTGAAGAGGCTGCAGTTGACCAGTTCTATGAAGATCTACAACACCTTCTTGAAATCTTCCTCCCAGCCTTGCAGAAATAAGGTGGCTTGGAGGTATACAAGCCTAATTCATTGTGGCTCCATCTTGCACATGTTATGATAAATTCTAGTTTACCATAATGTGCAAACATTGCCAGGTCACAGATGGGTTACTGTACCCCTTGTCCTGTTCTTTCTAATTTCTATGAAATATTTTGGACACTCTAAAGTATTGGAAAAACAGAAAAGTCAGTTCTTGCCATCTGAAGTGGATAGCTTCAACCCAGAGTCACAATGGCCATTATGTTTCATTGGAGAAGATAGACCATGGGACCTCAAACTGAGGCCCGGGGGCCGGATCCGGCCCGCCATGCCAATTTGAACCCACTGTGCCCGGGCCCATGTGCTCACCCGCCGTTGCCCGCCTCGCTCTGCGCGCAGCGAGGCAGCGGTTTGCTCGCCCAGAGAAAATGATCTCCAAGCAAGCAAGCTGCTGCCTTGTGCGCCTGCCTCCCCTCCCCTTGCTGTGCGCACTTGCCCGCCTGTGCCTCGCCCCGCGCCCCCACCTCAGCGCATGTGCTTGCACGTACCGCCCCCACCCCCTCACCGACCCGCATGCACTGCCAGCACCACCTTTCTGGCCCGTGCCCAGCACCGGCACCTTTCAGTTGGCCCCCTGCTGAAAAAGTTTGAGGACCCCTGAGATAGACCCTGGATTTCAATCTGTATGAGGCTTTTTATAACAAAGAGTCAGCATTCTTTCTTCCTTAATTCTTTAGATTAGGAGATCAATGCAGTGGCTCACTCATTCCCTAGAATGCTTCATTTAGATTAAACAAGTAGGAGTTGTATGCTCCATGCTCTAAATCCCGACACCCCCCCCCCATTTTTCATTTTCTTTCACAGAAATCAGCACGCAGTGGCTACTGAGTAAGCGTAGTCCTCATTAGACTGGGGGTGGGTGCATCCTTCTCCCACATTGATTGTTTTTCTCTAAAGTTGGTTGGTACATCTCTCTTATCCCTGGGAGGTGGTACTATGCAAAGATCAGTTTTCTGAGGACGGAGATACCCTTAGGATTGAGTATCATATACATCAGTGTACATCACTAAGTTCTGCTTCTTAGCTCAAACAAACATTAGATTTTTTTTTCTTTATCCAAAATCTTTAGTTGTTGGAATTTTCATAGTTTGGGTTCCCCTGAACTTAACTCCCTATATTAACTGTATTTCTTCTAATACTGTATTATACTTCTCTGCCC